TACAATATAATATAATATTCTCCTCAACGTTGTTTATATTGAACATGTTCGTTTCTCATATGTACACCGATTATCTTCACGGATACGTTGTTACTGTGGGTAGTTGTCTCAAGGTGTAGTTCAAATCACTGGCTCCTTGTTGTTGATTTATTTCTCCAGGAAACAACTTTTCATGGTTTCATGATAAACAGAGTTGTGTAGTTTTTTCTTCACCTCACTTTCATGCTCAACAAAAGAAATGTCTCCTCTCAAAATGAAAAATCTCTCTTCAAATTCTTTAAATTCACGTTTATACTCTTTCAAAGACATTTCGATCGGTAGTAAGAGTAAATTGCTTATCAAAAGTATCATACGTCATAAATTATACCAACACGCCTCCCTTTTTTCCTGAAACATAACTCTCAATACACCCTGCACACTTTGATGCCATGTGTTTTACACTGGCAACAATGTTTTTTTTCAACGCCGCACGCCCTGTATAGCATTTGATTGGTGAGTTTTGAAACAACACCTTGTATACCTTATGATTTCACGACAAACAACTGCAATGTTTTTTCTTGCACGTTAGTAGCCATGCTGTTTCTATAACGCTGCATACACCCCCTATAGCATTTGATTGATGTGTTTTGACAAAACAGCCTGTATTCTTCATGATTTTTCGACAAGCAAACGCCATGTTTTTTTTTACGCTAGCAGGCATGTTTGATCTTTAATGCTGGTAGTCATATTGTTTTCTTCAACGCCGGCAATTATATTTTTATTTTTTTCAACGCTGTACACACCCTGTATACTTCGATGGCAGCCATGTTTTCTGCTCACCGCCATGTTTTTTCTTAACCGCTGCACACACCCTGTATACCTCGATGGCAGCCATGTTTTTTTCTTCTACATTAGCAAACATGTTTTTTTTTAACGCTGCACACCCCATATACCTCCATGGCGTTATTTCTACGTAGGTCCTTCAGAGCTGAAGAGAGAAATGAAAATTCTTATGTTTTTTACCACTTTCAATTGTAACTAACGTTACTCATTCATTTCTCTTTTCATTATGATCTCGTACCACGTAGTAACGGCTACATCCATCAATTTTTCCTTGAGAGCTCTATGTACTTCATTGCTTCTGTTAGTTGAATTTTCGGTGTCAAAGAACTCTCTTTGTTCATCTACTGTTACTGCTTGACATATATCTGAAGATCTGAAAATATAGTAGAGTCATCTGTATCAAGTTGATATATACATGACTTCAACTTCCAAAAAAATGTGGCAGTATAGAGGGTATAAGAAAGTGGGCCTAAAATACTGCCTTGGGTTACTCCTCTTCTAACTTCCCTCCAAGTAGAAGAAATATCATAAATCTGAACGTTTTGTAATCTATTATCTAGGTAAGAATATATCAACATTACTGATCTGTCTGTTTAAAATCTGTTTTTCCGTTAATCAGCTGTCGCCCCCATACGAACGACAACTCTCAAAAGTTGAGAACTTGTGCGAGCTAAGGACTAACGAGATATTACCTTTTAACGTGTGATTCCTAACACGGTTGCAGAATCATTCCAGCTTCAACCAGATAAATTCTCTCGAGAAAAATATCTGGTCGAGGCGAGAATCGAACCCACGATCTTCCGATCGTGAGTCGGGCGCACTACCAACGCGGCCAATTCCACAACCCATCACTAAACCCAAAGAATGTAATGTAGCACACAGTATTTTATGATTGATGGTGTCAAATGCTTTTGAATAATCCAAGAGAATTAAAATGGTGGCTTCATTTTATCTATAGCATTAATTATGTCATCTGCAATCTCCAATAATGCTGTTGCACAACTATAACCTTTTCTAAAACCAGACTGTTTATGTTGCAGAATATTGTAATGATTCGTGAAATGGCGTATTTGATTTTCCATTACTTTCTCTATAATCTTGGAACATGTCGGAAGAATATTTATTGACCTCAATTCATTGAAACTTCTGAGGTTGATTATTTTTTCGGGTTGATATACGTTTTGCACATTTTTATGCATCAGGAAAAAAAATTTGAACTTATGCATTCGTTTATTATGTGAGTTAGTACCGCTGGGGACCGAATGAGGTTTATAGAGTTCGTCAGAGCCGTGCTCTTACCATCTGACCAGAAAGACCCCTTACCATACAAACTGATCGGCTTCGTTAAGAAGCTAGGTTTTTTTTGTCGAGTGTGAATAGGTGTGAGTCACAATAACCCCTTGCGGGTTGCGGTGTAGGGTCGAATAGACCCACTCACTTTGGACCTAACCTAACCTAACCCAGTACCGTTATAATGGAAGGACAAACAAATTTTGGAAATAATTATATTGATTTCATCTGATATGCGTGTGATTTCATGCTATCTTTGATGTTAAAGATTTCATTTTCAGTAGTTGGTGAGAAATAAGTTTACCACATATACCTTCTCTTCTGTTCATGCCATGAGAACAATACTCCAAAGAAGGTCTGATCTGAGCTTTATAAAGCATCAAAAGTTGCTGAGGTGTGTACAGTTTTCTGGTTCGGAACAATGTTACAAGCTTCTGAGAAGCAGCCTCTGCAATTCCAGCAACATGATTGTGCCAAGACAAAATGGTGTCCATTTTAACCCCCAAAAAACTTATGATCGAAGCAGAAAGCGGAATTGTCTATCCTGACATTGTTATATCCAGAAATTCATCTTTTTGGAGAAAACCGATACCTGGTTTTTATGAAATTGATTTGAACCTGGTTATGTTCACCCCAATTCGAAATTATTCCTAGATACTCATTAATACATGCAACCTCCTGCTGCCAGTGAAGATGTGCATCCGTAGCCGATGTTCTGGAATCCAAATGAAATGGAGAGATAATTGTGCTGTCGTCAGAAAAGTAATTTTGAAGATTTGAAAGATTTTTCTTGCCTTTTTTGGGAATAGGCTGAACGCGAGCAATCTTTCAACAAAAAATAAAAACTTCTCCCTTGTAGGACAGGTTGGAGAGTCCACAAAATACTTTCTGAGCACGAAGACGGGTACTTCAGCTAGACCAGACGCCTTGTTGATATTGAGCTGAATACATTTATATAATGATACGTGATTTGAATTGACTCACTTTTGATATCACAAAGTGAACTTTTGTATCCTTTCATATCTAATTTCAGACAATACGATGCGACTTCACCGGTCACACTGTATATCGTGAATTATATAAAAAATTAAGAAAACGAATACCTATTTTCGTATGGAATTACTTTTCCTAACGTTCCTACAGAGTGGGATCTACCAGAAAACAACTACTTTCCGCTGGGGAAGGAACTGTTACTACTTCATAGATCCTATTTCAGACAAAAATTTCGTAAAATAGGTGGAGCAACGAAAAAGTCAGTTGAATCCCGAATAAACTGCTGTCTTGGTTGTATCTGCCCTACACGACGAGAAGTATAACTTCGAAACCACTATGTGATCAATCGAATGATTTCAGCGATGTTCTGCTGCTGAGAAAATGTGCTCAAATGTCTGTCGAATATAATTCAATGTCAATCGTGGTATTACTAGGGATACTGCCTTCAGACTAATTATGATTTTTATAGGAAACCCCGTTTCACATATACTTTGAAATAGCGTCCATGATATTTCGAATATATCTGCCTATAAATTTCTTCATCTCCTACATTTATTAGCAAATTTTGAATCCGCCATGAAAGATTTTTAGTACCTACTTATTTTTTATATTGATTGGTTGCAATCAATCAGGGTGACAACGAAATCATTGTATACGGCGCCAATCAGTTGTCTATGGAGTAAAAAATTTGAAATTTGGAATAAAGGTATTCTTGTTCGTACTACCTTGGGAGCCGACTGTCGATTTCGAAGGATTACAGACCGATAACCTTCTCAAATTAGTTTTATAAGTTGTTTACGAGTATCTTATACACATGAATACACATACTCATGCATAGGATGTGCAGCTCGTAGCTGGAAGTATCCTGCACCATCTGGATGCACACAAGAAGCAGTGAAAAAATCTCTCTGCGGTATCAGCACAAACTCTAACAGATCTGATAATCAAAACTGCTAAACGAATACTACTACTACTACTGCTACAAATATGCTTGCCATAAGAGTTTGCATCTCAAATCGTCCGATTCACGGTTGAACTTTCCCCGACAACAGGGAGGCCGTTGAATTTTGAGTTTGGAGTATCTACATGACAGAAGGGTACTGGATACAGCCTGTTAATTCGTTAGGAATTCGATTCCCCTTCTCTGCATGGTTCGTGACTCTGAGAAACCAGGAATCGGAGCATTTCTCTTCAGGGCAGCTGCATATGCAGCTGATGACTGGGTTTATTTTTCGACACTAAACGAGGTGACTACACCTCTGTCACCGAGTTGGAACCCGTTCAGTAAAANTTTTGAACAAAAGACAATTTTTGGCATTATTCTTCAATTTATTAAATTTTTTTAGAATAGCTTCCCTAGCTTCTAGATTGAATTCAGATCCACACTGTAACCTGGTTTTTTCTTTGCACAACAAGTCTTTATGTATTCCTTTTTTTGTTCCTATCAGAAATGTGTTTTTCTTGCCTTCCATTGGTAACATTTGTCTCTTCTTGTGGTCTGTTGATTCTTTTTTGTAAAAGCCTCAACCTCGTTTTGCCTGGGCGTCCGAACATCAGCTGTGCGGGTGATATTCCTGTTGAACAATGATCTGTATTCCTGTAATTTATTAGAAAATGAGACACAAGTATATGTAGCTGTACTCCTTTATTCGACGGATCTGCTAACGCTGTTTTAAGTTCATTTTTGAATGTTCGAACCATGTTTTCAGCGGCTCCGTTACTTGGTGGGTTGTATGGTGGTGAAGTCAGATGCTGAATTCCATTTCTTTGGAAAAATGTTTCCATGTCCTTCGATACAAATGATGGACCATTGTCTGTCACTACAGTGTCCGGTAGGCCAAACCTAGCGAATGTCTCTCTCAATTTCATCTCCGTGTTCTTACTTGTGATAGTCCTCATTTCAAATACTTCTGGCCACTTCGTATAAGCATCGATAGCAAGCAGAAAGTTCCTTTGTTGAATTGGGCCTGGAAATGTATTCGCTCCCATGGCCTTTTTGCCAAGGGCCATGGTTGTACTACTTCCTTTGGTAGATTCTCCTTATTTTCCTGGCACGGGTTACATGCTCTCACATGCTTCTCTACCTCCTGATCCAAACCGGACCACCACATATATGATCTTGTCAAGCTTTTCGTTTTCACAATGCCAAAATGGCTAGTATGTAGCTCTTCTAGCATACGTCTTCTTTGGATTTTCAGAATCACTATCCGATGTCCCCATATAATACATCCCTGTTTCACAATCAGTTCGTCTCTTCTTCTATGATAAGGTTTCACACACTCGGGCCACTTCTGCGGCCAACCCTCTTCTATGAACTTCTTCACCATCCTAAGTTCTTCGTCTATATTCGATGCCTGACGTACTCTCTCGTTATCAACTGGCCATTCCTCTATTGACGCTACGAAATACAAGTATCCCTTAGTATCATGTTCTCCTGAGACTGTGTTAACATGCAAAGGAATTCGTGAAAGACAATCTGGCATATGATTTTCTCTACCTTTTACGTACTCGATCTTATAATCAAAAGATGCTATGAATACTGCCCATCTCTGCAAACGATCTCGATTAATCTCTGGGATGCCCTTATTTTCTCCAATTAAACTCACAAGAGACTTATGATCTGTCTTGATAATGACTCTATTTCCTCTTAGATACTGTTTAAACTTCTTTGGTCCAAATACGATTGCCAATGCCTCCTCATTTATCGTTGCATACTTCTTTTTCGCTGGCATTAACGTACGAGATCGCACCCTATTGGCTTTTCCTTGTCATTGTCTCTATGGAATAATACACTCGAAATGCCTGCCGATGATGCATCACTTACCAACAATATTTCCTTACTAGGGTCAAAATGACTGAGCTTCATGTCTTCTGCCATAAATTTTTTGACTAAGTTAAAAGATCTTTCTGTTTCTTCATTCCACTCGTGTTTCTCGTCTCCCTTCTTCAACAGTTCCTACAAGGAGTTCATTATCATTGTTAAATTAGGAAGAAACTTTGCATAATAATTCACTAGTCCTGTGAAACTTCTAACTTGGTTTACGATTCTTGGTCTGGGTGCATTCAACACCGCTTTTACTTTATCAGAAGTTTTCCGTACTCCCTTGTTATCAATAATATGGCCTAAATATTCAATTTCTTCTTCGAAAAGATTACATTTATCCTTGTTCAATGTCAATCCTGTGTCTTTCACACGTTCCAATACCATTTCTAAGTTTCTGTTATGTTCCTCTGTTGTTCTCCCAGTAACAACAACGTCATCCATGTATATTATGACACCTTCCATTCCTTGGAATACTTGCTCTAAGCTGCGTTGCAATATTGCACTAGCCGATACAACTCCAAATGGTAAACGTTTCATACGGTACAGACCCTTATGAGTATTCAATGTTGCCATTTCTTGAGATTTTTCATCCAACATGAACTGCAAATATGCACTGTTCGAATCCAACTTGGTGAAACTCTTACCTCCATTCAATTTTGCAAATATTTCTTCAATTCGAGGTAGTGGATACCTCAAAGTTGTTTTATAATCTACACAAATACCACTGGCATTCCCCAATTTGATGCTTCTATGGGTTCTATGATATCCTGCTTGATCATTATCTCCAACTGTTCCTCGATACGTTTCTTATAAGCGAACGGTACTGGTCTTGGCTTGCAGAAGATTGGTTTGGTTCCTTCTTCAACCTGAAAAGTCACCTGTAAAGGTTTATATTTCCCAATACTACTACAAAAAACTGTTGGGAACTCTGAAATTGAATCAGCTTCCAAATTTTTAATGCTATTGACCTTAGAAACGTTCAAATTAATTGAAAAAAGTTCCAAAAAATCTCGATAAAGTAAGCTCTGGTTAGCACCATTATTAACGACAAAATATTTTACAAGTTTTTTAGTACTATTCAATGTTGTTTCTGCTAAAAAGTATCCTCTAGGTGTAATTGTATTGAATTTAATAGAAGACACCCGCTAGAGGTAGCTGTACACCCTGGAACTGTACATAAAATATATAATCTATTCGTGAGCACCGGCCAAGTAACAAAGGATAGAAGAATTGTAAAACATCATATTGATGATGATACGATATTGGCGGCTCATCAAGCTGATTCTAGAATTGGTTTGAGAAACTTATCGCTTCAACTCAATATGAGCCGCAGTAAAATATGGAGGTGATTAAAGGGGCATAAAATGCATCCGTTCAAACCCAAATTTTTACATACTTTGCACGAAGGAGATGAAATCCGCTGTATGGTGTTTATGGAAATTATCTTAATGACAGGAATTTTTTAAAGTATATCTTATACAGTGATGAGGCTACCTTTACCACGAATGGTGTTGTATCTTCCCAGAACATACCGGTGTGAACTTAGCAGCTAAAACATAGCAGCCAAAATCCCGAAAACACATAGACGTACGTCTATGTGCGCGGAAAAATAAACATTAAAACGGTGAGAAATGATTAGAAGCTCCATTATTATCGCTGAACGAATATCTCGGGCAACTCTTTCGAATGTGCCTATTGAAAAAGCAGATTAAAAAAAAAATTATAAATAGGGGATGAGTACATTTGTAAGAAATTATCTATCACTGAAAACATGTGTATTGTTATCAGACGTAGTAGATGAGATCAGCAGTTAGAAGGGCTCAAATAGTGAAATAATTGAAGTGGGTCACATGGAGACATACCTTTGAGAAGTAATCGAAACTCCTAGAAGAAAAAATCCTTAGTCTTAGAAGGAAAAATCCTCTCAGCATAATTTTATGTTAGAAAAATCGATTTTGAAAATGATAT